CTGAGTGTTGAGCGCAGATCAGATCCCCTGGTAACTTCATGCAGCGCCATGTTCTCCAGACTGTAATGATCTATTTGTACCTCCAGTGTTCGCATGCTCCCAAATGGCCCTCACAACATCTAGCTTGCCATACATCAATTCACCACCAAGTGGTGCAGAGCCAAGTCAGTCTATCTGTCTGGTCATTTCCCAACACACCAGCATGACCTAGAGAAAATATTCAAAGGATGCTAGCTACCTGGGACCTCTGAAGTGATACTTGCCACTCTGCATGGAGCATGCCTGTCTCAAACTTTCTCAAGGCAGCAGTGACTACTTTCACCTCCATTCTTAAACTAAACTTTTTGATATCATATGCCAGACTTTGTTGCACTAAGCGACATCCATTTGCTTTTACTGTGAACCTCCATGCACTTTGTTTGCCCCTCAATACAGAGCCATCTGTATGGATAACATCACCTGTTATTGTCATGAATCATTTGTTAAAACTGCTGATTCTGCAGCACCAGCTGGCCAGCCCCTGCACTCATGACCTAACGTGACTGAACCCTACACAAGTCTGAAACTTGCTCTGACACCTTGTCCCACTCCTCTCCTCGCCAAAAATTATCAAGCCTGCACACATGTCCAATTGTGTTTTCAGATGTGTCATCCAAGACCTTCCTCTTTTCAGTCTGTGACCCTTAGCTGTACCCAGGGCTTCATGCAGGAGGTGCTTCTTGTCTGCAGCTACTCTGAGATATGACTGCCTGCAGAACTTTGAGCCCATCTGCAATAGTAGGAAGTGCAAGTATATATTGCATACATACTACCGGGGTATCTCTTGTATATCACAGAATTACCCACATAGCTTCATTGTGTATGCGTTCAAGTTCCATCAGCTGACTCTTTGATATGGTAAGTATGCCAAGTCTATAATGTATCACCGACAGGAACTCTTGCTGGAACATTGTGAACAGCATTGTTTGTACCATGTTCACTGCTGCCATATCTTATGTGTATGTTTATTTATGTTTATTCAACGAATTAATATCATTGCACACAGGTGTAACCCATAAGTGCTCCGTATTACTTCTAACTCAAGCCTGAGTCTGAAGAATCTTAGCGCTGTGCACGAACTCTGTTGCACCAGCCAGAATCCTGAAATACTTTGGGTAGATTTTTAACTCTAGGTTTTGCCTGAGCAGTGCCATTAGGCGACTCTTTATTAATTTGCAACTGCCAAGGGATTTGCCTGAATCTTGAGAGCAATGTGTTTTGGTATTTCACTGCAACTACCTCCACATGATCCCTAAATGACAGGCTTCTATCTACAATGGTACACAAGCACCTTGTTTTGCTTTCTATTTTGATGTTACTGTTAATAATTGTGAAGCTTGGAATGAGAAAGATAAACAAATCAAAAGTTGTACAAGGTGAGATTAGAGAGCGTAAGTTGATAGATTGGCTAAAGTTGGAGAACAGGCAGATATAAGGGAAATAGTCAGGTTTGAGGTTTGAACAACGGATCAACATCATGGCACACGGGTAGTAACCTATAAGTGCTCTGTTCTTCCTCCAACTCAAGACTGAATCCAAAGAAGCTCAGCCAAAATGCACAGGCTCTGTAGCACTGGCAAGGATCCTGAAATACTTTGGGTAGATTTGTAACTCCAAATTTTGTCTGAGCAGCGTGGTTAGGCTACTCTTTTCGATTTCCAACTGCCAAGGGATTTTTTGCGTGTGAAACAATGCACACGGGCATCCGATCTCACTACCCAGAGACCAGGGGGAAATTACTAGACATCCAAGTCCATGTGAAAAAATCTCAGCCCTTAACGGAGATTGAACTCAGAACCTCTAGCACTCAAGGCAGACACCATGCTTTAAGACCATGCAGCCCCCTAGTAAATTACTAAAGAAGTAAACTGTTACTTTCAAACTGTGAGGGAGGGTCTATTTAAAAGTAAGCATGGTATAATGCTTACATCTGATATTGAGCAGAAAAGAGATTGGCAGAACACTTCCAAGAAATACTAAACAGACCTAGTCCACAAGAATAAATGGATTAGATGAAGAAGGTATAATGACCATGAAACTGATCAATATAGAACAGATAAATGACATGGAAATCTGGGAGGCAATCAATAATATAGCAGGTGATGATGATGAAGATGATATTACTGCAGAAATGCTCAAGGTAGCAGATGAGGTAACCATACACAGAGTGAATGATTTGTTTAATGAAATATGGGCAGAGGGAAACTATCCTAGATCAGTGGTTTAAAAAAAAGGAATAATTGTTACAAGTCCCAAAAAGGGTGAGTAATCTTACTGTCTGTAAAAAATGGAGAGGAATTACTCTGTTATCAGTAATGTCAAAGACTTTTTGTGAAATAATTTTCAATATAATTAAATTGGTAGTGGGGAAAACCCTGAGAGAGGAACAAACAAGTTTTCAAATCGAAGAAAGCTGCTTAGATCACTCTGATACATATTTTGAAAAATTTAATGAAAAACAACAACCCCTTATTTTTAGTTCCATTGACTCTTTGAGTCCCAAGGAACCCATCATACATTCACAAGTTTACCTAGAAGCCAAACTAATGCACAATGCGCCAATTTTATGTCTGTTTTTTCCTCCCCTTGGGCTTCCAATGCTAAACCCCCTGGGACTCAAAGAGCTAAGAATAGTTTACATAGATCATCACAGTGGGGATTTTTGGAATGCTATGGTATATGAATGAAAATTAAGAATATTAATAAGTAATATAAGAATGTTCAGAGTGTGCAGTACAAGTTTAAGTGACTGGTTTGAAGTTGATACTGGAGTGAAAAAGGGATGCAATTTATCTCATGTGTTATTTGGCATAACCATTAACTTGGTGATGAAAAAAAATGTTGCATTGGAAATATTGGCATTGACGGAGTGAAGAACACAAAGTTGCGCGATCTTGATTTTGCTGATGATATTGTTTTGCTTAGTAAAACAGCAATGACATGCAGAGGAAAACAGATGATTTAGCAAATATAGCATCAAGGGTTGTACTACAAATACATTATGAAAAGACTATTATACCGAAAACACCAACAACAGATTCCACACATGTAACACTAGAGACACAAGTTATTAAAGTCTTCTCCTTCTTCTCATCCACATTGTACCTCAGCAAAGTGATGGGGAAGGAAGGGGGGGGGGGATGTAACATTCGTTGATGAGATCTAGTTTTTAAAGTAACAGATCAATGTATTTATTCAGGTCGTAATTTTGATAGTTTAGGAAATACAAATAAAGAAATTATGACACACATTGGCAAGGTTTCAGCAGCTTTTAATAGCTTGAACAAAATATGGAACTGTATAGTTTTAAAACCAAGTTAGATATTTTTATTTCTAAAGTAAGTTCAGTTTTAACATAAACAAGTAAAATTTGGAGAACCACTAAAGACATTAAATGGAAGTTAAATTCATTCAAAAACAAATGTCTGAGGGAAATGATGAAAATAAAATGTGATGAATTCAAAAGGAATAAAGAAATAAATGTCTGGGTAACCACCGGTATCCACCGTTATAAAACAGAGAAGATGGCGCAACATTGTGCATTGGACACATCCTTAGAAAAAACCAGCAGAGAATCATCAAACAGGCATTACAATGGGAGATAAAGGGATTAAGGAGGTGAGGACGACCAAAAAGAAACCCCAAGACAAGCGCCGATGATAGAGACCAAATCTACTGGACTAGATTTCATTTATGATATTGAACTGATTGCACAGGGTACAACGGAATGAGCAAATATCCCTATGTGACAAACAATGGCACAATAGAATGAATGAATCTCCCTCTTCTGCACTCTCCCAAATTTTCTTTCTAGCACAGTTCACTCTTATGTACTCTACTTTTTCTTTCTCACTTTCCCATACTGGTCTCATGTTCTCCATGCTTTCTTTTACTGTTCACTTTCTCTCTTGCAATCTCAACTCTCTCTTGCAATCTCAACTCTCTCTCGTACTCTTTACAGTCTCTCTTACAATCTCCACTATCTCTCATACTCTCTCTCTTGCAGCCTCTCCCACTTTCGAGTAACACACTACACTATGTATCTTTCACACTCTCTCCACTCTCTTGTACTTCACACTCTCTTGGTTGCATTTTTTTCTCCACTCTCTTGGTTGCATTTCTTTCTTCACTCTCTTGGTTACATTTCTTTCTTCACTCTCTTGTACTTCACACTCTCTTGGTTGCATTTCTTTCTCCACTCTCTTGTACTTCACAATCTCTTGGTTGCATTCCTTTCTGTTACACTTCAAACTCTCTCGTATATTTATTTTTCCCTCTTATGTTCCCCACTGTCTCTCTTGCATTTCCTCCCTGTTTCTGTTGCACTCTCCTTGTTTTTTTCTAATTTCCCAGCCTATCCCAGTCTCTCCGTAACCCATCAGGTCTTTCTATAATAATCTTTCTCCTTGTGATTTCTTGAAGCATTGTAGAACCACACGTACTATATATTACACAACATACATATACAATAAAACAAAATTATTTCCACAATAAACATAAAATATCATTGCACAAAGCAGTATCCAAATTGGCACTGGCAGATAAGTTCCCTAGGTAAGTTCAAGTTCTCTAGACAAGTTTAAGCTCTCTAGAATATTTTCAAGTTTTCTAGACAAGTTATCTAGATAAATGGTCTAGACAGTTCAGTGTGGGAGTATAGGTGTGTTGGGCAAGACAGAAGAGTTTGCCAACAAAGGTGCAGAACAAGTTCAAGTTCTCTAGAAAAGTTCAAGATTTCTAGTTAAGTTCAAGTTCTCTAGATAATTTATCTAGACACATTCTCAGATAAGTTGAGTTCTCTGTTAGTTAAAGTTCTCTAGGCAAGTTCAAATTCTTAGATAACTTAAATTTAAATTATCTAGCTAAGCTCTCAAGAAACATTTTCTAGATAAGTTTTTCTGGGTAAGATACTTTCTCAGATAAGTTGAATTCTCCAGAGAAGTTCAAGTCCTCTAGGTGAGTTACCAGGGTCTCCACATGGCCTCTTGAGAAATCTGCTGCTCGTCTGTTCGTTTAACACAGAGGTCAAGGACATTATTTGACCGGGGGAACTCTTTTATAGCAGGGGTTAACAGAAGACTGCTGTTCACTTGTGTGGACTCACCAAGGATGTTAGGTGTGGTGATGTGGGGTTCGAATCTGTGGTGTGGGTAGACAGTTCGGTCTGGGAGTATAGGTGTGTTGGGAAGGACAGAAGAGTTTGCCATCAAAGGTGGAGAATCAGTAAACGATGCATCACTGTAATAACTGGAAATTAAACATGAAGAACTTAATGAAGAGTATGGAGAAAGATAGTAGTGTTTTGACTGAGAAAAGTCGGAGCAGTAGCCTTCTGACTTATCAAATTGAGAGTCACTGCTTAATGATAATGTTTGCTTGACTGGTTTTATTTGGGTGGGCTGGCCAGGTGTCTGAGCAGCCCGACCTCGTGCAGATTTCTTCCTCTGATCAACAATGCTACATGTATATGCTTCTGAAGAATAGTTCAAGAGTTTGTGACCATCTTTTTGTAGCTGAGCATCTGATTTGATGAACGGTAGATGGGAATAAGATATTGGCGTGGAGTAACAGACTGGTGAAGTTAGTAAACAATTGCTGCCCTGTGTTGAGTAAAGAACTGGGGAGTGTATGTAACAATCACTGCCTTCTGAAACCTCACCAGAAAATTGTCCTGAAACTGGCCCTAAACCCAACAAATTATCTGCTGATGAACTTATTATTTCTCGAGCTGTCACTTTACCCAAAGATGGTGATGATATTGTAGAAGATGAAGCAGAAAAACACTGCGCTGGGTTCAAATCTGTCTGTCTATCTATCTGCATAGTTGACTCAACTCTTCTTGCTATGGCTCTCAGGTGGTTCTGAAGATGCACTTTGACTTCACTGGGAACAAGGCGAGAGTTCTGGATGTACCTGATTGATTCCTCTGCACACAGACTAAATCCTGATGCATATCGAATAGCCATGGCTTTATGAGTTGAAGCTGTGTGGCTGATTTTGGGGTTTTCATGGCGTAACCGCGTGAGGACCTCTAAGGTCTTCTCCAGAATTTCAGCTTTCTCCATTTTATCAATATCTGTATCCTAAAACAAAGAAGAAATAACACAAATGAACTGTTTGTTGCAGGTGAAGAAGCATTTCTTTGTGTTTATATCTATGAAGTATACATAAGATTATCAAATCAGAAGAAATTTAGGACTGAAATAAGTCATACAATTCATTAAAAAATCACTAGATAAGATGGTTTCTGATGAGAATGCCCGGTTACTTACTGCCACAGAGAGCTTAGCATGAGAAAAAAAAATAAAAACAGAGCAAAGGGAAGACTTATCAAAAGATGGAACTTTTTTGTCATGAGAAACCATTTTCCTGACATTTATGGGATTTTTGCAGATATAACCTGTATAACAGCTGTGGCAATGGTTATAACTGTAGCTTGTAGACATGGTGGGTATGACTATATCAATCGCCACCACTTCCACCCCTTTTCCCTTTCCCTCCTAAAAATCTTTCAATATTCTTTGGGGTTTATAAAAAAAATAAAAAGGCAAATTTTTTAACATTGTGACATCATAATTATTTGATAATTACATTAGTTTAATTTAGGTGGCTTAATCAGCAAAACTATGCTTATTATTATGGTCAAAGGCAAGGAAAACAGTTAATCCTTTGCTCTGTTTGATTTAGTCATTCTTTTCTGTCATGTTTAACCCCCCCCCCCCCCCCCCCCCCCCCCCCCCGTTCCCCAAATGTTATTGTTTTCATGAAATATTATTTTTTTTTGTTTAATTTAAATATCATTATTTTTAATGACTTAATGGCTATGATAATGCAGTGACAGATTTGTATCTGTCTATTCAGTGGTCTAGGGTTCAGCCCCTTAAGACTTTCATAAAAAACTGTTGAAGATTGTAAATTTCTTCTTCTTCTCTGACAGTTTGCTAGAGCATAGTTAGGGTGAGAGTGTGTGTTATGTTCAACACCACCAGGATTGCACAACTAGCGATAAACACCCGGTGACACAAAGTGCCACTATTTGAATAGGAATCACTCTGGTACAATGTTAATTCTTCCATAATCCTAACCAAAATACATAAAAAAAAATTTTTTTTTTTTTTTTTGCTATTATGTTTTGCCCAGGTTATTGCGCATTTCTTTATTTATTGTGACAATCAGTAAAAGTGAACTTTTGCTGGAATTACATCCCTTTTAATAATTTGTTTCTATTACTTGCCTTGAAGAGGTAATTTTAAACAATGGAGACCAAGATGAGGTAGAGGACGGGAGAATAAGACTTTCTTTTGCTATCCCAGTCAAAGCCAGGCAATTTACTCTTTTGCCACTGGGTCACTAAAGGGCCCTTTACTTCAACTTTACTGTACATTGTGCTGTCTAAATGAAGTATAAATTACAGGAGACTGCCTGCCTTTTTGTGTACATGATTTCCTTCTTCTGTACTTGCCTTCAAAAGGGAGGCTGGGACATTGTGTTATGGTTTACAGCTAGACTGCAATATCTGATTCTAGCAAAACCCTAATAAGTCACCTTTTAAAAACATGTTTATTAGGGGGTAAGGGAGCCACACACGCTCACCTGCGTATCAAAAGGTCATGAGTTTGGGTCCTGATGGTACCAGACTTTTTTCAAAAATGACCTTGGCCTCCAGGTTGATCCAGCCTCAAGGGAGTACCAGGTGAAGTCTTGGAAAGTAAAGGCTGCTTGAGTGATGCCGACCACATCACCTGCCTACTGTTGACTAGACTATGAAATATAGTTTTAGCCCTACATACCCGCTATTCTTGCAGGTGTGAAAAATTTACTTCATTATTAGGGGATAATGGGTCTATTCCCTACCTACCCCAGGAAGAAAAAATATATTAGGGGTTTGGAACCCACACGGGGAACTTGGCATTCATTGGTTGAGGTCTTATGTGGATAAAGGCTGAAGAGAAGAAAAAGAAATTATACGATCAGATAATCCTTCCACGATCAGAGACAAATTTTTTTAAAACGGTAACCCACACAAGACAGTCAGTGACATGCAACCATAAAGTTAGTTGTGCATCCTTCACAGGACATTGCAGAACCAACCCCAGCATTTTTTTTTGCTGTAATGGTTTTGGCTTTTTTGGACAAATTTACGTTCATTAGTTTGCCACTGCTTTCTGAACGGTCAGCTCCTCTTGGTACTACTGTCGAAACCAATGCAAGACAAACTGTCAGCAGCTGGGACTAGACTTCACAGTATTTAGCTTGTCATACATCAATTTATCACCAAGTGGTGTAGAGCTGGCCAATTTATCTGCCTGCTCATTTCCCAACACACCAGCATTATCTGGAGTAAATATCCAAAGGATGCTAACTGCCCGGGATGCTTGACACTCTGCATGGAGCATGCCTGTCTCCACCTTTCTCAACATACTCTGTGAGTCAGTTACAATCGAAGCATGTGTGTACAGCTGATTCTCAGGCCAGCAAAAGGCAGCAGAGGTGAGTGGAGGGGGAAATTTGTTCTCTCTAAAAATAGGAACAGAAACTTAATCGCCTTTGACTGACAACCTAAAGTAACTAATGATGAGGAATAAGTGACAGCTGAGTGACACAATAAAATAACTTTTTGATGATGAGAATATAAAGTGTAATATTTCAATTACATTGACTTTATCAGTCCCAAACAATACACTATGTGTACTGGATACATTATTGATGTGCACCGGTCAACACATTTTATATATCTGTACATCTTTAGTAAGGCTTAGAATGGCTGAAACTCATGAATTCAGTACTGCATGCTTGCTCAGCAACTCAATGGGCAGAAGATCAAGGGTACATATGGAAACCCCTGTACAAACCCTGTAGTATGACAGGAAAACCATCTATACTTTAGTTATCATCATTATTGGTTCAATCGGGCAATAAAGATGATCAGAACAGTGAACAATCTTTTTAGGGACTCAGAGAGTTATAAAGTTACATCTAATCGGGCATCCTACAATTAGAGAGTTAAAAGACATCTAATCTCCTATTAGGAAGGAAAAGGAACACTCACTTCCCCTATATGAGCCTGTCATAACAATTTTAGGAGTTTGCTTAAACAGGATTTGTTGGGTTGAAAGGTGCATACTCTCTCTCTCTAGATCTGTCACTTTGTATTAGGGCTGTACCGAATATTCGCTTCGTATTCGCTTTGGGGCCAAATAGTGGACCTAATAACTATTCGCTACTTTGCCGAATACTTGCGGTCGGGCCGAATAGGAATAATGGTTACCTTACACTAGTTTCTGCATAAACTGCAATAGAGTGAAATAACTTTCTCATTAACACAATAGTTGCTGTTCCCTAAGTCTGTCGTAGCGGGGGAAACTGCGACCCCGTTGCGTCGCACAGCATCCAGTTTTAACATATAGCTGTGAGTCCTGGACAATCGGTAGGCAAGCCAAACAATTTCTTGAGGCCTCAGAGTTGTGGTTGTACAGAACAATGCTTAAAATACCTTGGACAGCCAAAAAAAGCAACCAAGAGGTTTTGAAAGAGGCGGGAGTCCGAAGACAACTAATCACAGACATCAGAATGAGACAGTCATTATTTTTCGACCATGTTATGAGAAGAGGAAAAATGGAACATGTGGTGACCACTGGAAAGATCTGTGGAAGGACAGACAGAGGAAGACAATGAGAGAAGTTTTTTTTTTACATTCTTGTTGCATGGCATGCAGGTGTGTCACAGGAACTAATACATGCTGCAGGAGATCGCAGATTGTGGCAAGGCCCACGCCAGTCGGCAAGGCACCTGATGATGATGATACACTATTCGTATTCGGCCGAATAGTGAAAATCCCTATTCGGTACAGCCCTACTTTGTATCTCTCTTGCTCCCTTGCTTTTTCTGTTGCTGTCTTTCTTGCTCTCTTGCTCAGTTGTAAAAAGCAATACAAGGTACTAACACCCCCTCCCCTTCTTTTTTAAGGTTTAACTCAGAATATAAAGAAGCAACAATGGAGGTCTTAGTTGAAGAGACATTCAGGCTCTCCTTTCAACTATGGCCGGTAGACAACAGTAGACGGCCGGTTAGTTCTGTCCCCTGGCTGCAGTGCTATTACGGACTGGACAGGAGGAAACGAAACAAATGACATAATTACTGTGTGTTGGCGATAGACAGCATGCACTGCCCTGCTATAATCAAACGGTTAGGGTTAGGGTTAGGGTTGCGGTTAGTGTCGCCGCATCTCGTCTTCGCACAAACTCAGAGTAGCAACCCAAACCCTAAACCCTTCCCCTAACCCAAACCGAATGATGACAGTAGGGAGCGGGGTCTGCCAGGCATGTCGACCTCACTTTGTTTTCTGATTCCTGCCTTCTCCAGTCCGTAATTGCAGAACTCCGACTAACCGGCCGTCTACTGTTGTCTACCGGCCGAAGTTGAAAGGAGAGCCGACATTCAAGAAAAGAACCCATCAGGTAGTTATCTGTTTGCCTTCCCCTTGCTCTTTTTCTATCAGTCCAAATTCTTGAATCCATGACCTTTCATTTGTCAAAAATTATACCTCTAATTTATCTAATCTGCTTACGCCTGTAAGTCAGGACTGGACTTACACACCGGTAGAGCGGTATACGGCCATTTTCATCCCCTTGCTAATTTCTCCTGTGCTGAGAAACTTAAGAAACAATAACAAGTCACTGTAATGTGTAATAATTGTAAAACAAAAAACAAAAAAGGCTAACCTTTCTGTGAGTTGGTCGAATGTTATGACATTCCTGGGACTGACTAGTTGCTTCACATACATTTTTAAAGTTATCCATAACAACACCTACGGATTAAATCTAAACCCAACAAAAGGCAACGTTCTAGGAACTAAACCTGATGTCAATAAACACACGGTAGAAAGGTAACTGGACCTTCTCAAGGAACAAAGCGGAAAACTTCTCCCGAAAATCATGTGAAGGAATCCGACATATTCTGCCACCGTTCTCCGGAATATGGAGAAGGCAGTTAGCAGTTTTCGGAACCTGTAACAGAATTGAAACATGTAATAATCTGGCATTCCAGCACATAGTGGACTTTATAGCCATGTTCAGG